CGCCGCGTGTCGTTCCGAGGAAGTTTACTTTTAGCGTTAAAAATAGGGTGCCTCAAAAGACTTGCTTGCCATTCTGATCGCATGTTTAAATTTGGTCATAATTTTGGTCATTACGTCAAATTATAAACGTTTGAATTACGTAAATTTCCACTGATACTTGTCAAAAATAAATACCGAATTGATATCTAATCGTATAAGGTAGTAGTTTCAGTTTATTATATTTTTCGTAATTTTGAACGTTACCGTAAACATTTTCGGCTTTCACTTAAAATAGCGAAATTGATGTGACTGGCAGTATGTAGTCAACTTCGTGCGACAGTGTTGATCTTAGTACAAAACGTGAACCACAACATTTTCCACGGTGTAGAATGACTTTTCCGGTTCTCGTTTGCGAACAAAATTCCTTGGACATGAAGGGAGGGGGAAGGGAATTTGGAACATTTGATTCGCTTTTATTGTTAATAATCAGCTGTTACATTTCATATCTAACCGAGTAACTTGTGTTCCTCAGGAATAACAAGACTGTTTTACGTAGCAAAATGTCTGAAACCACCGGCTATCATTTGCTGAGAAACCATACTGAAGAAGGAGAGGAAGAACGAGAAGGAAAAGAACATGAAAAAAGAATCCTGATCCAAGAAAAAGACGCAGCTGATCAAAATGAAGAGTCTGCAGGAAGGTCGAGCTTATGGAAAGCGGTTGCTAACCTCATGAGTAGTATCGAGGGCACCGGCCTCCTCGCTCTTCCTTACGTGATTGCCGAGAGTGGCCTGGTAGCGATAGCAGCTCTGATCATGGTTCCCTTTATCACCTACTACACTGGAGCTATATTGATAGAGTGCCTGTATGAGACCAACAACGAAGGCGAAAGAATTCGAGTCAGGTCCAACTATAAGGAGCTCGGTAACGCCTGCTGGCCTCGCTTTGGTGGTGCTATTGTTGCCGCTGTCCAGCTGATCGAACTGTTTATGCTGGCGTCTTTGTATCTTGTCTTATGCGCCTCGCTCTCAAGCAGTATATTTCCAGGGATACCAGTGTCCGATAAAATTTGGATGATCATTGCAGCTACAATTGGGTTCCCGACCATTTTCGTAAAGAATCTTTCACAGGCTGCATGGTTCAGTTTAGTGAGTGTTGTAGCTTTATCTGTAGCAGTAATAGCTGTCTTAGCTTTTGGCATAGCGGCACATGGCTCTAAGTGGGATTTTAGCCTTATATTAGTCTGGAATATCGATGACGCGCCAATCTCATTAGCAATTATAATCTTCAGCTACATTTGTCATCCTGTATTGCCAGGAGTCGAGGAAAGCTTGCAAAACAGATCACAGTTCCGCAAGATGCTTGCGCTATCTTATACCTTCGTTGCAATCCTCAAGATCGTTTTTGCAGTTTGTGCTTTCTTGTCGTTTAGCCCAGACATTCCAGATGTGATTGTAAATAGCCTTCCCATGGGATTTTTACGAGTCTTTGTCAACGGATTTTTGATTTTAAACGTTCTCTTTTCATATCCTTTTAGTGTCATTACCATAATCGGCATAATCGAGGAAATTTTTTCAGTCGATTCACTTCCATTCAGATGTCCCGAGATTGTTTGGTTCATCGGCATTCGAGTGTTGACAAATTTTCTAACACTTCTACCCGCGATTTCTATTCCACATTTTGCGCTTTTTATGTCATTCATCGGAAGTTTAAGTGGTTCCTGCGTTGCTTTGATTTTTCCTGCAGTTTTTCACCTCAATATCCAAAAGGACAACTTAAAACTATATCAGATCACTTTTGATATTTTGGTAATATTTGTTGGAGTTTTTGCGAGCTTTACGGGTTTAATTTTCACCGGAAAGAAAATCCTTCAGCTTTAGACTTCATCGTGTTTTTGCTTTTTTATCTAAACGAAAAGAGTTTTGTCACTCCCGACTCCCCTGAGTAGGATTTTGTCATTTTTGCGGTCACGTGACCACGCGAGCAATCTTGTTGTATTCGCCAAGTGCTTTCAAGTGCCAGATTTATTTGTTGTTAAATACGGAGTTTACAGAGCTTATTTCGTTTATTTTAAACCGAGAGGCCATACAGTTCGGTAAGTGGACATTTGTGGACATTTGTGAACGTTTTGAAGAACATATAAGACATTGGACATTTATATTTTTTGCAGAAAACCACTCGCATCGCCTTTATGTAAACAAGGAACGTGTCGATTGTGAGTTTTCACTGTGTGCCTCGGATTGTGCAACTGTGTTATATTTTTGTGGTCCGTGGCCGTACGGACTTTGAACATTTGGAGATATTTGTGAATAAACCAGTACGTTACTGACAAGTTTAATTTCGCTCTTTTTTTCGAGTATTAAATTGCCACATGGCAGTGTAACTTTTTCCACTGCTGATTCACTCCCCAGGTATTTGAATGTTAGCGAATGAGCTTGCAGCTGGTTAAGATTGAAGATATGATCTACGATATCCAATAGTTTGTATAGAAACCAATCCCCCTCCTAACCCCAGTCCACGCGGCTGTCCATATAAGTTTGACTTTCGCACGGATCATGCAAATATAACGGTGTTAGCTCGAGTAGAAGGTAATCGCAACTACGTTCTTAGGCAGCCGTAGTCCAAAATCGTCACGTAAATTGATCTTTCGTCGAGTGTCCCGTGTTCCTTATGTTATTAGTATTGCCTATGTTATACACATTTCCTGTTATTTCCAATCTTGTAGTTAGTCGTTCCGTTCATGATGTACTATGTTTGTAATACTTTACTCAGAAACCACTGGCAATGGCGTGTAAATAGAAGATTTCGATCGTGTCGTCAACCAATTAAACTCCTCTTAAATTTATTGCTGGCGTGTTGGTCACGGTTTGATCTATCTCTAAGTTAAATTTTTATAAAAGCATATCGTTTTTTGCCGAGCTTTGGAACAGTAACACAACAATAGTTTTTTTTTTTTTTCTTTCCCGTTAGAAAAAGAGAGGATTTTTATATGCTTGCGATACTGCTATAAAAATGGATTGAGGCAATTTCCTCTGTTTTGTCGCAATTGTTACGATCAACCACTTGCAGAGGGTCTCAGTCGGGTTTTACACGTGTAAAATTGCGACTTTTTTTTTTACGTGTATTTGATATCGTCAGTCAGCTGCTGACATGTCACTCACCTTTCTTGCCACTCTGTCGTATTGTGCCGGAATAAATCACAAAGTGTTCTCCTTTCTTAATCTAAGGTCGTTGTTTAATTTTAAAGTCAGTCAAAGCCTATGGTGTTTATGTAATAAATCAAATAAAACGTAACATGAACGTATGGAATTTCTCTTCTCGTGTTCAACTCGAAGAGAAATCCTATATCTAAATCTAAGCGCACCTATGTATTATTTTCTATTATGATAAAGTTCGGATATAACGCGCGCTGTCATTGGTTGAAAGAGCGTGCTCTATGAGAGTATAGAGCATAGAGCTGAGCTAAAGCTGTCACACCATCTTCCAAATTGTACTACGTTCGAGCTTTTCCGGGACTTCTTTTTAGCTTTTTTCCGATAATTGAAAGTGAAGTTTCGGAACTGAAGCGAGCCGGCAAGTAGCAACAGAAGAACCAAATGAAGGTTTGTAAACATACCAGGCGCCGTAATTTACGTTATTAAAACGTGAGCAGATGCGAAAATCCTCAAAGGAAAAACAAAATAGACATTCCGAGTTTTAAAGATTAACTCGCGCTCAGTTAGATTGCAAGCTTACGTACGGAAATAAAAATCAAACACAGTGAACACTAATATAGTATTTAAACTTCAGTGTTCAAAAACAAAACAGAACAAACAGAAATGATGAAAAATATAACCAAATTGGCATAACTGTTGAAATTCATTCTAATCATGACGGTGTCTGAGCGAATATGATCATGCTGAAGTTCATCGCGGCTCGCTCATCATGGCGATCTCCGGTCATCACAGTAAAGCAAGTCTCAGAAACCTTCGAGTGAAAAAATAAGAGCTTGCTCTGATATCCTTTCCGATGCGTTGAGTGGAAAGTCACTGCAGCCGAGTTTTGCCGAATCCCGAGCGATCTTCATGTTTCGGTGAATTCGGCTGTCGTTCATTCAAGAAGTGAGGAGAAACACTAGACTACGTCTCGTGTTTCTCCCTACACTTCTTTCGTGCTCTAGCCGCTTCCTGCGTGCTTTATAACAGAACAGAGCACAGTCAAGGCTTCTCTATTTGTTAAATCTAAATCTTTCAAGATAGTATATCACTTGATAACTTGTCTCTGATCACACCACGAGGTGCCACGTGGTTCGATCCGTGATTATTGGAATTGAAATTGGTCTCAGTCCATTTCACTCATTTGAGCTCTCTGGCCGTAACCATAACCATAATTCTTAACCATATGGCAGCTGCAAGAACCACATAGAGAAGTAACTCATCATATTGCAAAGTTTGAGGTGATCTGAAGATATTATAGGTTCCATCCGTGTAAGAACGGATGGAACAAATTTCGCAGCGTGTCGTTCCGAGGAAGTTCACATTTAGCGTTAGACTTACAAAAGACTTGCTTGCCATTCTGATCGCATGTTTAAATTTGGTCATAATTTTGGTCATTACGTCTAATTATGAACGTTTGCATTACGTAAATTTCCACTGATACTTGTCAAAAATAAATACCGAATTGATATTTAATCGTAAAAGGTAATAGTTTCAGTTTATTATATTTTTCGTAATTTTGAACGTTACCGTAAACGTTTTCGGCTTTCACATAAAATAGTAAAATTGATGTGACTGGCAGTATGTAGTCAACTTCGTGCGACAGTGTTGATCTGACTACAAAACGTGAACCACAACATTTTTCACGATGTGGAATGACTTTCCCGGTTCTCGTTTAGCGAACAAAATTCCTTCGACATGGGGGGAGGGGGAAGGGAATTTGGAACATTTGATTCGCTTTTATTGTTAATAATCAGCTGTTACATTCCATATCTAACCGAGTAACTTGTGTTCCTCAGGAATAACAAGATTGTTTTGCGTAGCAAAATGTCTGAAACTACCAGCTATCATTTGTTGAAAAACCATACCGAAAAAGGAGAGGAAGAACGAGAAAGAAAAGAACATGAAAAAAAAATCCTGATCCAAGAAGAAGACGCAGTCGATCAAAATGAAGAGTCTGCAGAAAGGTCGAGCTTATGGAAAGCGGTTGCTAACCTCATGAGTGATATCGAGGGTACCGGCCTCCTCGCTCTTCCTTACGTGATTGCTGAGAGTGGTCTGGTAGCGATAGCAGCTCTGGTCATGGTTCCCTTTATCACCTACTACACCGGAGCTATATTGATAGAGTGCCTGTATGAGACCAACAACGAAGGCGAAAGAATTCGAGTCAGGTCCAACTATAAAGAGCTCGGTAAGGCCTGCTGGCCTCGCTTTGGTGGTGCTATTGTTGCCGCTGTCCAGCTGATCGATCTGTTTATGCTGGCGTCTTTGTATCTTGTCTTATGTGCCTCGCTCTCAAGCAGTATATTTCCAGGGATACCGGTGTCCGATAAAATTTGGATGATCATTGCAGCTACAATTGGGTTCCCGACCATTTTCGTAAAGAATCTTTCACAGGTTGTATGGTTCAGTTTAGTGAGTGTTGTAGCTTTATCTGTAGCAGTAATAGCTGTCTTAGCTTTTGGCATAGCACATGGCTCTAAGTGGAATTTTAGCCTTATATCAATCTGGAATATCGATGACGCGCCAGTCTCATTAGCAATTATAATCTTCAGCTACAATTGTCATTCTGTACTGCCAGGAGTCGAGGAAAGCATGCAAAACAGATCACAGTTCCCCAAGATACTTGCGCTATCTTATACCTTCGTTACAATCCTCAAGATCTTTTTTTCAGTTTGTGCTTTCCTGTCGTTTAGCCCAGATATTCCGGATGTGATTGCAAATAGCCTTCCCATGGGATTTTTACGAGTCTTTGTCAACGGATTTTTGATTTTAAACGTTCTCTTTTCATATCCTTTTTGTGTCATTACCATAATCCACACAATCGAGGAAATTCTTTCAGTCGATTCACTTCCATTCAGATGTCCTGAGATTGTTTGGTTCATCGGCATTCGAGTGTTGACAAATTTTCTAACACTTCTACCCGCGATTTCTATTCCACATTTCGCGCTTTTTATGTCATTCATGGAAAGTTTAAGTGGTTCCTGCGTTGCTTTGATTTTTCCTGCAGTTTTTCACCTCAATATCCAAAAGGACAACTTAAAACTATATCAGATCACTTTTGATATTTTGGTAATATTTGTTGGAGTTTTTGCGAGTTTTACAGGTTTAATTTTCACCTTCAGCTTTAGACTTCATCGTGTTTTCTTTTTTTTATCTAAACGAAAAGAGTTGAATTTCGTTCTTTTTTTTCGGGTATTACATTACTACACGACAGTGTAACTTTTTCCACTGTAGATTCACTCCCCAGGTATTTGAATATTAGTGAATGAGCTTGCAGCTGGTTAAGATTGAAGATATAATATTGCCTATGTTATACACATTTCTTGTTATTTCCAATCTTGTAATTAGTCGTTCCGTTCTTGATGTACTATGTTTGTAATACTCTACTTAGAATCCACTGGCAAAGACGTGTAAATAGAAGGTTTCGAGCGTGTCGTCAAGAAATTAAACTCCTCTTAAATTTATTGCTGGTGCGTTGGTCACGGTTTGATCTATCTATAAGTTAAATTTCTATAAAAGCATACCGTTTTTTGCCGAGCTTTGGAACAGAAACACTACAATAGTATGATCAGTTTTTGACTGCCTAGTGTAGTATATTTCCATAAGCTTGGGCGAGTCGCGGGTGTGAAGGACATATAAGAAACTGCCATTGTTCTTTGACTCTCTTATTACAAAAGGTCTAGAATCTGATCGTCAGGTGTTTTCTTTCACAGGTAGAAAGTAAAAGGGCTTGAAAAACTGTAATTATTGTAGAGAAATAAATAGAGAATAATACATGGGCGTGCGTAGATATGGAATTTCTCTTCGAGTGTTTAACTCGATAGCTCACGAGTGAGCGCAGTACTTTAATGTTAAAACTGAAATGTGATTAGTTAGTGTTATGTTTTCCAAGTAATACCCAGATTTATTCAGACCTTAACATTCCATGACTTCCTGTAAGCTTGGAAGTCTTCTAGATTCTCTTCATAATGGCTCAGATAAGCATTGGTATTTATACATGGTAGCAATACATGTGTATTAGGCCTTTATTTGGTAGACTACAACTCCTTTTCAATTACTGGTTTGGTTTTGGTTAATTCATCACAATACTGATATACATGAAAAATTACACTTTTTGATCGGCTGAAAACAGCCAGGTGCCTCTTTCATTTATCATTAGTGCAAAATTAATAACTCAAGTACAAATAAAAACTAGGCTCAGCAACAATAGATCACATAAGAAACCAATCAGAGTTACACAAAGTAGGTTGTTGTTATTGATATATGCAGAAGCTGACAAAAATAAACAAAAGCTTGGATACTTTTATGTATATTGATAAACACTAACAAAATTGCATCCCTGAGTAAGAATTCAGCTGAAGGACAAATTTTGATGGCACACACTTCATTTAGTCAGTACTGCCAAATTTATCTGCTATCAGTTTGTTGATTTCTTGTGAATGCGTATCTTTCATGTATACATTACGAATAATTCATAACATGATTTCTCAGGTGATAAGCACTTGTAAATTTTTCAAATACTTCAAACTGCACACACCCCATGAGCTGTAGACATTTGTTGTTTGTTAAAAATTTACTTGTGCTTATTTAGTATACCAAAGTACACTCAATTAATGTAGCTTAGACTTAGTTGAGTTTTTATGAAGACAGTTCAATGGAACTGACATTTGTTACGTTTATAATTAGTTAGAGCTACTTGATGTGGATTAGAAAACCATCAGGCATCCTCGGAGACCCAGGGTTCTTATCACGTCTGTAGACCCCCTAAAAGCACAGTCTTAACAGATCAGTTCCAAACTGTCATAGTCATTCTGAATTTTAATCGGTACTAGAAGTTCAACGTTATTCTGGCAAATGAGAGAGAAGCAGGTCTCACAAGTCCTCTTGTATGCTCTAACAGAAAGTGATACATGAAGTTCAGTTGCTTACCATGTTTGTTTTGGACCTTTTTGTATGGTAGATTAGCACTTTGCATGATGATGTGAAGTTGACCATTTGCATGATGATGTCAAGTTCACCTATTCATTTCACAGTTCAAATTACAATTTCAATAATAAGAAAACTTGAAAGATTCTGGTAGTTTAATTCATATGATACCATCGTGCACTTGCCTGTACATTGAATTCTGTTGTGTTCAAGTTAAGTCTCTGATTACTGTTCCTGAAATCTCTTATGGAGACACTCTATCTCTATTCAACTTTCTGTTAAATAAAACCTCCAGGTCAAATTGTAAATCTTGTTGGGTTAAAAATAGTTAGCAAAGTTAATATGTTACTTCAGAGTATGATTCATTAAAATATTGCTTGTGTTCTGATCTTGTAATGCACCTATTTTTTTTCCCCAGATTCCTCCATTTGCAACCTCATATCTACCGGCCTCAACTAGATTTTTCTGTGTTCTTTATTGAAAATACAGTCCCACAAAACCTAAATACAACAATTATAGTAAACGTTTTACTCTCAACCAACTCAGTGAAAATAGACTTTTATGCCCTAATGGACAATAGAAACCTACGCTCATCACACATACTTTACATGTATGTATTGTCCAAAATTAGTCATACGTTCAAATCAAATCAAGCTCCCAGTGGCTTCTAGTGTAGATTACATCATTTCCCGAATGTCACTGCCCTTCTGCAAAGTTTTGTCCTCGTGTACTGGTACACAAAATGCCAAAAATATTCATATGAAATGCTTCCCTAGAGTTCATTTCACATCACTTGCCTTGGAAAAGACAATCAACCTACAAACTTCAGAAGTCAATTCCTCTTCGTTAGGTAGACATAATCATAACTGAATCTAACAGGCCACTATGGGAGATGATGCTGACGTTTTTTCAGTTCCTAAAATCCTCAGATTACGCGTGCAACCTTTGTTGTCAAAATGAGACGTTCATAACAAAGTTTGGCCAATAACCCTCATCTTGAAACTGCTCATTTCAGGACTCTTGTATGCTAGTTATCTTGTTTTATTGATGAACAGGATCAATATTGAAAACTATCTAACGGTAATCAGATATTAGCTCTTGTAATAGAAGCCCAATAGGGCGCTAGATACTAAAAATCATCCGTGATTAAATTGGTCTCAATCCATTTCACACATTTGAGCTCTCTGACCGTAACGAGTGGTAACTTGAAGAGTCTAACAACCCAACAAGCTTCCACAACTGGAGACAGAGAGTTAAACGGTAAAACGTGTTCTGAAATATTGACTTCATGCAATGTGTTATTGATTCGGATGTTTTTACCTATGGACTAAGAGCTCACTGTCTGAAATACCAGAGAAATATTTAAGTAGCACCTCATGTAATTATTTATTCTATAGCTGTTTTATTTCCTAAGTATTTTTCAGAGAGAAATTGAGGAGCATTTGCGACCTGATTCTCGGAACTAGAAGAATAAGTTCTGCAAAGTGCTACAATTTTCTTTCACATTTATAAGATACATGAAAAAATTACTCAGTTCCCATTTGTTAAGATAAATGCAGTTTTCAGGTAATTCAATGCAGTTTTCAGGTAATTCAATGCAGAAGAGGGTTAATTCAGTGCAAAGAAGTAACAAACCAGGCTGAACAATTCCTTGATCTGTTTAGCCGGACTCTGAATATTTTTGCGCCTCAAAGATGTGAAAATATTATTGTATATTGTCGTTTTGATCGTACGCGGTTGTTTCGACCGAACGAACAATTTCATTAGCAGTGTTTGAATAAATAATTTTTGCACTTGATGCGCGCGCTTTGCTTCTGCATAATCATGATAAGCTATCTCGTATTTCTTCATGTATTTTATTAATACGTAATCACATGATTTTTCTCGTGCCATTTAGAATAAATAGGCACTTGTAAATTTTTTCAAAGACCATAAATTAGGCTTAGGGTTAGCTACCTTAACGACCCTCAACCGCGAAGAACCTTAAAATTAAGAGGGTCTCATTGAGACCGGTTCACCGTTAGCCCTGAAACGGTAAAAATAAACATAGCACTTTGGCGGTAAAATTGAAACATTTTAACTAAAAAAAACGTGCACCCTAAAATTTTCTATTTTGTCCACAATGGAAAGAAATTAACCGCTAGCTGTAAAATAGCCAACATGTTAACCCACAGTGTGGTCTGCCTGTGATTAACCATTATACGTAATTGAGACCATCATTTAGGCGCCAATGGTCAAAATAGAAAATTAACCTTCAATGGTCGAAAGCTTTATGATTTCACTGATAACCAACACAATAGAAAAACTGCCAAAAATTATTCGTACGTGACCCTGACATTAGGAAAAAGTAACCGCAACTAACAAATAGTAGTGTTCAGCCTTCGGCTCCCCTTTCTCGCACTTCTCGAGTGTTCTTAAAAATTTCCAAGGGCTTTTATAACATAGTTAGTAAATTTGTCTAATCAAATTCGATTGCGTGAGCGTGCTTCATATTCCTATTGTGCACGCTCATGACGTCAGCAAACAAATCCCTCGAGAAAAAACTTTTCTCCGCGATTTTTTATTTTGGGATTTTACTATTAAAAAACTGGTTAAGACTTCTACGGCAATTTAAGCTAAACATGGAAACAAGATCGTTTACAGCGTAGCGAAATGTTTTCCTGAAACAAAATTATCAACGCGCTGAAGCGTAGCAGAGGGAATATTAACCCTTTTACAACATTTAAGCCATCGGGTTGAAAATGTTCTAGAACAATTGGTTCATACATCAGCTGTGCGTCCATCGAGATATGAAGCACGCGAAAAGTTTGGAGAGCACGAAAGATGCGTGAGAGTTGCACGAGGCGTATATCGTATACGTTGTCAAAAATAAATACCGAATTGATAATTGGTATGTGATATATTAAAGTTCACACGGCAACCAGGTGGACAATCAGACATAGTTTGATGCTACACTGGTTTGCAGATTTAATGAATGTAACCGAAGAAGTTACAATTCATAGACCCAACGTTTCGACACTCCTGTCTAGTGCCTTCAGCAGGGGTGATCTAAACGCTGCAACAGGAGGTCCTTTTATATGATCACTAGTTAGCGGCCTTTTTTCTGACGAGGTGTAAATAAGCGTCAGGAAGCAGACCGCCATCGTCACGATTTAAAGGAGCGTGGGCGGAGATAATGTGCCAAGCCTCCAAACAAAGGCGCTGGTGGTAATTCTAAAATTATCACCACTAATCGGCGTTACCACCAGCGCCTTTGTTCTCGTTTGGCGAACAAAATTCCTTCGACATGGGGGGAGGGGGAAGGGAATTTGGAACATTTGATTCGCTTTTATTGTTAATAATCAGCTGTCACATTTCATATCTAACCGAGTAACTTGTGTTCCTCAGGAATAACAAGATTGTTTTGCGTAGCAAAATGTCTGAAACCACCGGCTATCGTTTACTAAAAAACCATACTGAAGAAGGAGAGGAAGAACGAGAAGGAAAAGAACATGAAAAAAAAATCCTGATCCAAGAAGAAGATGCGGCTGGTCAAAATGAAGAGTCTGCAGAAAGGTCGAGCTTATGGAAAGCGGTTGCTAACCTCATGAGCAGTATCGAGGGCACCGGCCTCCTCGCTCTTCCTTACGTGATTGCTGAGAGTGGCCTGGTAGCGATAGCAGCTCTGGTCGTGGTTCCCTTTATCACCTACTACACCGGAGCTATATTGATAGAGTGCCTGTATGAGACCAACAACGAAGGCGAAAGAATTCGAGTCAGGTCCAACTATAAGGAGCTCGGTAAGGCCTGCTGGCCTCGCTTTGGTGGTGCTATTGTTGCCGCTGTCCAGCTGATCGAACTGTTTATGCTGGCGTCTTTGTATCTTGTCTTATGCGCCTCGCTCTCAAGCAGTATATTTCCAGGGATACCGGTGTCCGATAAAATTTGGATGGTCATTGCAGCTACAATTGGGTTCCCGACCATTTTCGTAAAGAATATTTCACAGGCTGCATGGTTCAGTTTAGTGAGTGTTGTAGCTTTATCTGTAGCAGTAATAGTTGTCTTAGCTTTTGGCATAGCACATGGCTCTAAGTGGAATCTTAACCTTATATTAGTCTGGAATATCGATGACGCGCCAGTCTCATTAGCAATTATAATTTTCAGTTTCATTTGTCATCCTATATTGCCAGGAGTCGAGGAAAGCTTGCAAAACAGATCACAGTTCCGCAAGATGCTTGCGCTATCTTATACCTTTGTTGCAATCCTCAAGATCGTTTTTTCAGTTTGTGCTTTCTTGTCGTTTAGCCCAGATATTCCAGAAGTGATTGTAAACAGCCTTCCCATGGGATTTTTACGAGTCTTTGTCAACGGATTTTTGATTTTAAACGTTCTCTTTTCATATCCTTTTAGTGTCATTACCATAATCCACACAATCGAGGAAATTTTTTCAGTCGATTCACTTCCATTCAGATGTCCTGAGATTGTTTGGTTCATCGGCATTCGAGTGTTGACAAATTTTCTAACACTTCTACCCGCGATTTCTATTCCACATTTTGCGCTTTTTATGTCATTCATCGGAAGTTTAAGTGGTTCCTGCGTTGCTTTGATTTTTCCTGCAGTTTTTCACCTCAATACCCAAAAGGACAACTTAAAACTATATCAGATCACTTTTGATATTTTGGTGATATTTGTTGGAGTTTTTGTAAGTTTTACAGGTTTAATTTTCACTGGAAAGAAAATCCTTCAAATTTAGACTTCATCGTATTTCCTTTTTTTTTATGTAAACAAAAATAGTTAAATTTTGTTCTTTTTTCGGATATTATATTGCTACATGGCAACTAACTGTAGATTCACTCCCCAGGTATTTGAGTGTTATTGATTAAGCTTGCAGCTAGCCAAGATTTAAGATATGAGCTGCGATGTTAAATTTCTATAAAAACATAAGGTTTTCTGCCGAGCTTTGGAACAGAAACACTACAATAGTATGATCAGTTTTCACTGTCCAGTCTAGGATATTGCCATAAGCTTAGACAAGTCGCGGGTGTGAAGGACATGTGAGAAACTGCCGTCGTTCTTTGATTCCCTTATTACAAAAGGTCGAGAATATGATCGTCAAATGTTTTCTTTCGCAGGTAGAAAGCAAAAGGGTTTGAAAAACTGTAATTATTGTAGAAAAATAAAAGCAATTAATCAAGGTCACAAGTGAGACTTTGTCATAGTTGTCTTGGCTAATTTACCTCATTTTCATTTTTTGTCATTGAGAACGGATCGAACGCTTGAAAGCCATGAAAGCCTTGAATGTCTTGTATGCCTAGTATGCCAAGTATGCCAATGTCCTAGTTGAAAAACGTACACTTGTTGTAAAAAGCAAAATCTGAAATCTGAAATCTGAAACCAAACTGCATAAACTCCATGCAACCTATTGAACAACACTACTACCGTGAGACTGAAAAACAAAACTCTGATGGATGCAAACTGCTTGTGAAGATAGACGCCATATGGATTCCCCTGATGCCAGGGAACGTAGCTACGATAACAGTACGAATGGTGTTAATTTCACGATCAGAAAGGTGAATCTTACGTTTGTTTTTATTGTAATTGTATGGATACTCTTTTTTAATAAATGCATGATCCAAAATCCTGTGTTTTTTGTGTATAATGTTATTATGTCAAGTAATGTTTACGCAATTGTCTTGTCACAGGTGGCCCAAGCTCACGTCTCGAGAAAAAGCCAACGATTAATTCATGAACGCGTCACGCGCTGTGTGACTCGGTGTTAAGCTACGAGAGGAACCGTTGAAAATTTGAACACATTATAAGGAATAGTATGGGGAACGAAGTATGGTCGATTTACAACGATAAATATTTCTTAATATAAACATTTTTCTCGTAAAATCAATAAAGCTAACTCATACCCTGTGTATCCGTTGTAGTTTCTGGCGATTTCTGCCGTTTTAAGCGTGCTTCAGCATCACTGTTATTCACTTCATCTACTTTTATTACGTTGGTAAAATCTGTACAGACATCACACCAACCAACTCGCGCGCAAAGTAAGAAGACTTAACGGCTAACGGTTGACTTCAACAACATATTGAAGATGGGAAAATTTTTCCGATTGATTTTTTTCACGACTAACGATAACAATTTGGCAATTTTTAAATGCCCAATGGTAAACACAGGGGCTCAAATAAATCCTCATAAGCTTCCCATGCGGTCGTTTCCCTGACAACCAAACATCAATCAGTCACTCACTCTGCTCACCGCTGAATAGGGGTCGTGCACCGTCCAAACAGGACGATACAAATTTGTCAGAGGGACGCGATTTCGCCGAGGTTGTTTCACGAGGAAAAGTAGTTTCTACGTCTCACCACACAAAGCTTCTTACGGGTAAGCAATATCGAATATGAATCTCTTTGTTCCGCTTGGCGTCCCACGCGGTCACACGCCATTTAACACAACATTCGTCGGGCTTTTGGCCGACATGATTGTTCTAATTAGCCATCTTCCAAGTGCTCTGTGAGCGAGGAAACTGCTTCCTTGTTACGCGTTTTTCCTTTTTCCCCCTTTTCGGTGATGACATCTATTTGGGTTAAAACAGTGGAATGCCACATTAATTTTTCCATACCAAGTTTTCATGTCTATTGTGTTTACTTTTCTAAGTCAAACTTAGATATTTAAAAATGTTTTACTCTAAATTATAAAGGTGAAATCATTTGCATCGAATCTCATAACATTTACTGTTGATGGGTGTGATGTGAAAATGCAGGATTTGTTGGTGGAGAAAAGCTACGACTGAAAAACACAAAGTTTTCATGATTGCGTGCGTTACAATTTAGGCTATTATTCGTTTCACGAGTTAAGTTCGAAACCCGAGTCAAGTTCAAGTCGCAGGTCAATTTCGAGCCAATCTTAACTTTTCTAGCTTGTTTTTTTCTCTCTGTCAAAATGATGCACCAGGGCTACAAGAACGCCCATTTTTAAACTCAAGACTTGTATTTTTTCACAGCCGTTTGCTATTAAAGAAGTAAACATTCTTCGGCATCTACGAGACCGACCTCTTTTAATTACAACACTCAAGGCAGAAGTCCCATTTCAACAACGAACTGTCTTAACTGAAAATAGAAACAAGGAAAAGAAAGGAAAAAAATAGAATCTTAGCATTTCTCGCACTCGGCCGCCATTTTGTTGCTTCCATAGGGTTCTCATTGAAAACTAACTGTTTCTCCCTGACCAAAATTGTGGATAGAAGATATTATTTTCCTCTAAAATATTTGTTTCACCAGAATGATCTTCTCCTCCTTTTTTTGTTTGTCCCGTAAGATACAGGTTTCTCTATTCAAGATTTTCTAACCATCGCAAAGTTCTCGAGACATGACGTGCATCAAGTGTGCATTTCTTAAAGAATGTTATTTCGTTTGCTCTCTCCGCATTTTTATTGCTTTTATTTCCATTTACCGGTTGGGGATTTAAGTAAGCCACATGTCGCCCTAATAAAACCAAACAAACCTTTATAACTTCTAATTAACTCCCATGTGGATTATGTGTTAGTTTCACAATGAGTTGGCCAGGTTTGTCTGGTAAATTATTCCGCAATTGCGCAGAGTACAAATTCTATGACAACATCCCATGATGATCGTGGCCATCTTGAGCAAGCTGGTCATAACACGGCCATGATTAAGCTGGGCTGAGTGAGTCGTTGCCGTTGAGTACTTGGTGTTTTGTGTTTCGTTTGGTAATTCTTCTTTTATTTCAGGTTGTAGTTTCCTTATCATACCAATGAGAAGGGACTGATTTTCTGATTTTTTTCAGTTGTTTACGTTGATGTTACCTCCAAATGGTCAAGGAAATAAAGCCATTTCTGGTGAGTTCTAGAATATTTACATGGATAATATATTGCGTAGCCTGGCGTGATACTAATTTTATCTTCGCATGTTATGTCTCACGAGTGAGCAATCACCTCTAGAGGAGAAGGTTCGTAACTGAAGAAAAACCATTCGTAAAAATTTAAAACCGCCACGATGTTGATGGGAATTATAATTATCACAAATCTCGTTGTTTTGTTGCTCTGTGTATGTAAAGTCTCAATTGCCTCTCGCTTGTGGTGTTGATTGCAAATAGGACCCGAATGTTAACTTGCGAAGAATTTAGTGTGATCACCTTTCCTTAGGTAATGCTATGTAACTAACAGTAAAAATATATTTAGTTGTCCATGTTATTTAGGATAGGCTAAGTTAGTAGTTGGGTATCTTGTGATTAAATTTTTTTGTACGTTTTTTAACACCTTGTTCTTTTCTGCAACACAACATCACTAATAACCACTGACAAAATGAATTGACAGCTGCCTTTGCATTGTTATATTGTAGACCTTGAGATAACCACTTGCCCAATGACTTCAGGAATGGAGGTTCACTAGAACTTTTACTACTCTCACTAACAGAAAAATGGCATTTAACCCTGAATGAAGGAAAAATTATCCACATAATCTTCACTGACTAAGACATTGACTCAACAAATACTGGTTAATATACCAAATGGTGACAACATATCTGCGCATAGTACATCTGCTGTGGTCAATGAAATTATTATACCTTAGAAACAGGACTATTTCCATATAACAAAGAGAATTTTATATCCCCTTGAGGATGCAAAATTTCTATCCTTGTGTTAAAAAAGGTTTCACGCTTTTGCTATGCCCCAGTCGTAAAGTATTTTGCAAGAATTGAAGATAAATTTAGAGTCTTCAAGCAGCCATTTTTTGTCCTATTTATTATGAAAGGATTAATGAAACACCAAACCATTTCACTTTAAATTTGGGATCAATAAATAGCTTTTGCGTGCATTCAGGTCTTATGAGATAATGATCCACACTTGAGAGGATTCCTCTGAGAGAAGATGGCTTATATTGTTCACCATTTTTTGTTCTAGTGGTATAATGAACTCACTGAGGCATACATCCAGCTTCTCAGGGAGGATTCTTCTGAAAACTCTCTTCTCTTTGCCAACCTTTCAAAGGAATATGAGAGCTATGATCATATATGGTCTTATTCTATATATTTTTGTTGACCAATAACCTTGACAACATAATTTTCAGACACCTGATCGGAGCTGCATTTAGAAACGTAATCCATTAATTGGAGGATATTTGCATTTCAATGAGGTGTGTCCAGGGAGTCACTGAGTAGAAAGTCATGGTCACTGGTTTTGCCTTCTACAAAAACATAGGCATGCTACACAAGCGTTGTGAGTGAAGAAGTGGTACTCAAAATGCAATGTTACTTTTAAATGGTAGAAAAATACCCTGCCAACTTTTGTAATCCTGGCAGATTATAGTGAGTAGGTCCACATGAAGGAAATGAATTAGTTCATAGGATAGATGACCTCATGATTTTTTGTTGATGTTCTAGTGTGAATCAATGTTGGGCTGGTTCCATTGCAACACTTTGCAACACCCTAATTCCTTGACACGACGTGAGGAACAACACCCTGACTCTCTGATTGGTGCAAACATGCTGCAGTGCTGTGATCTGATTGGTGTGAAATATAAACCCTGATGTGGCTCTCTGATTGGTGTGAGATACAAACTCTAATGCGGCTATCCGATTGGTGTGAGCAACATACCACTTGATATGCTAACATAGCGTTTTTTTTTTAATAAAAAAAAAGACTTAAAAGATTGACCATCAAATCCAGGACCTGGGTGGGGCATCTGAAGACAATTTTGGCCCCCATTCCACTGAAATGGTCTTAAGCAGTTTGTTTTTTGTCCTCAAAAGCTGGTAATTTGAAAATAAACAAGTTTAGTCCATGTTCTATGTATTCAGCCACCTACTAACCTTGCTTGTGTAAGCTTTACTAAGAAATACTGGTGTTGGCCCTCTGTGGTATTCTTATGGACCTCACTACACTTGGCCTGCACTGTTATGACCTCAGGCCAATAATCCCCTTGTGTGGCCCTTGCGCTCAGTTAATAAGAAGTTGTTATTATAATAAGAATGTCACATTATTTGTATTGTATCAACTCCTACAGGAGAAGTAGGTACTGAGTATAGCTATAGCTGGGTACCACCTGAAGAAATGCTGGGGGGGTGGGGGACCTTGCAATGGACTGGTATCCCATCCAGGAGGGAAAAACCTAGTTGCTTTGTGCTAAGGATTTTTAGCCAAATACACAGTGGTTGATCATTTAGATATGAGATGGTATGTTTGTCTTTTTGTTTTGTAAACAGATTGTTATCATCATCCTCTCAGTTGTGTTACTAATTGCAACAGCGATTCAGTTGCAATTAATTCCTTCACTGCCAACGCTTGTACCAATACAAGTACAAGGTAAGAATGCAAGGACTCAAAGAGCCATACACAAATTGTTACTTGAATTTTTATTGATAAACCCAAATGTCTAAAATATTTTTTTATTATGATGATGTTGTGATGACCTGCTTGCTGGATAATATATGGATATTATAGGGAGAAGTGACATGTTAATCACTTCTGGGAGTTGAGGGGTTAAGGTCAGAAGATGTTGAAAGGTTAGCATGTAAGACACGAGATCAGAAGGTTCACACTTGATTCCTTCCAGGGTAACTCTGTTTTGAAATTTGGTCTTACCTTGACCATACATCTTCTCTCACCTTAAATGGACTGGTGTCCCTTCCAGAGGGTCAGTCGTTGTCATCAGTGGTTAAATTGGGGTACTATGGTAAATTGACTGCTGCCGAGAAAGGCAGGGAGGATCAGTTAAATTTTATCTTGACTCAATCAAAATCTTCCAACCTCCACCCTTCCCCTTCCTCTTCCAACCTCCACCCTTCCCCTTCCCCTTCCCCTTCCCCTTCCTCCCTTCCCCTTCCCCTTCCCCTTCCCCCTTCCCCTTCCCCTTCCCCTTCCCCTTCCCCTTCCCCTTCCCCTTCCCCTTCCCCTTCCCCCTTCCCCTTCCCCCTTTCCCCTTTCCCCTTCCCCTTCCCCTTCCCCCTTCCCCTTCCCCCTTCCCCCTTTCCCCTTCCCCTTCCCCCTTCCCCCTTCCCCCCTTCCCCCCTTCCCCTTCCCCCTTCCCCCTTCCCCCTTCCCCCTTTCCCCTCCCCCTTTCCCTACCCCTCTTTCCCCGTTCCCTGTTCCCCGCCCCCCCTCCCTCCCCAGCGCTAAATGACGACTGGCCATTTATGTAAGTTCCTAGTTGAACTAAATTCTAAGCGCGTAAGATACAACATAATACCAAGATAAATACAGATATATTTATTAGAAGTTTTGGTGTGTAGTATCGCTGAGTATTTTCACGAGTTGTGTCATATTGCCCGCTGGGCAAGTCAAAATTCAAGCAAAGAAAATAAATACAAACAAAATTATCTATTATCCAACTGCTTTATTTCATGCGCATGTCATGAAAAGTGGGAAAATATTTGTATTTGATTCGCGCGTTATTTGCACTCTACGTAGTTCAGTTGGATAATACAGTAATAAGTGATACTTAACCTAGCAAAACTTCTAACAAGACAAATTTTTGAATCTTTTTTCCAGAACAATCAAGGACAGAAGCTGCCACCAACTGTTCTTCAGAAAAATACGTTCTTTTTCTCAAAACACACAAAGCAGGTTCAAGCACAATTTCGAACATTTTCTTTCGTTATGGCGATTCTCGAGATCTTTCCTTTGTTCTTGGCTCGGACACTCTTATTGGATGGCCGACGCGTTTCCGTATTGGACAAGCTCTCGCTTTCGATGGAACTCGGCCAAACTTTCTTTGCAGTCACACAAGATTCAATAAGAAAGCCATGAACCATTTGTTTCCAAAAGACGCCAGCAAATATGTGACAATCGTCAGAAACCCGGTCAAACAGTTTGAGTCGATTTTTAACTACATGCAAATCGGAACTGTGTTCGGTTTTGGGACAGATCCATCCGAATCATTGAAAGCCTTTCTAAAGAATGGAATAGGATTTAATATCCTCAGAAAAAGCGGAAGTTCTGTTTTAGCCAGAAATCCACAAATGTTTGATCTGGGTTTGGACTTCAAGTTTTATCAGGATGCCAAAGCCATTAAAGAGTACATTGAATTCCTGGAGAAGGAGTTTGATTTGGTTTTAATCGCAGACTATTTTGACGAATCTGTGGTTCTTATGAAGCGATTACTATGCTGGGAATTGGAGGATGTACTTTTTGTAAAAACAAACGAACGGCTTGACAAGGACAAAGCTGCTGAAATATCAAATGATACGGAAGAGAACATAAAACGGTGGAACAAAGCTGACGTGTTGCTGTACGAACACTTTAACCAAACTCTTTGGCAAAGAATCGAAAGGGAAGGAAAAGACTTTTACGATGATCTTACGAACTTTCGTCGAATGAAACAGGAACTTAAAACTAAATGTTTTGAAGACAAGCCAACTAAGCAGTTAATGTATGGCAACAAGTATGCTAAAGGTTTGACTCTAAGATCAGATTTGTCTTCTGATCTAAAACAAAAATGTGAAAGAATGACACGAACTGAAAATAATTATCTGGCATATTTAAGGAACAAGCGAGTGGCAAAATTAGTTGGTATTCATCACGCAGCACCAAATGAGGATGATCAAGAAAAAGTTAGTTGGGACGCGGCGAGCGATTATAAATATTTTCCTGTATGAAGTAGCCAATTACAAGAGACTTTCAACGCAAGTTATATATTTCGCATATTTTGCAGTGAAATTAAATTGTTTCTATGGATATTTAAAAAACGCGAGAACACATAAGGATTATTTGTGTGAGTCGGATGTTTAAATATTCACATTTACTAATAGTACATGACCTACATCATTCATCCTAACAGGCACGTGCAATTATGCATAACAAAATTGCAAATTGTACAAAATATCTTGTTTAGAGGGAGGACTCCTTGAAAAAATTTTATTTTCTTTCCGTGATGCGTAAAACCAGTGGTATAAAGTACCATGAAAACCTAAGGAGGCAGGACTACTAGATATAATTTTTTCAATTTGAATTAAAACGACATGTATGGAAATTTGCAAATGCTGCCTGGAAGGCATGCTACGCCTTGTCCGGCACAAGGTGCTTACGAATGCATGTACAAATATATATGGAAGTGAAGTGCATTGACAGAGTAAAATTTAGAACGTAGACGTAATTAGTTGGTAGGGGAATTGATTGTTCTGGAGATATCTGTCCGTCATCCCCTGATGTTTTTGCCGTGTGGCAAAGTTTATTCCTTTTCCAACTAAAAAACTACGGGTTCCACTTGAAATGTTTGTCGATGACAGGTTTTCGTTATGAAGTAAACAAAAATTTATCAATCGCAACATCCAAGATTCCGCCGGCTTTTAGAGATGACTTTATTCTAGTTGATCTTTAAAAGGGGTTAGGAAATGGAGGCTTTTCAAAGAGTCAGTCGACCGGGAATTCCATGAAACTTAAGCAGCGCCTTTGCGTGCGTTCTTGACCTCCGTGGTTTTGTGCGTAAAGCTGCCTGCAAGGCCGTTATGGCCTCAATTGGAATAATTATCATAAATCGAGGTATCCAACAAGGAAAAGGGGTTGGTTTGCAACCATAAACTCCGGCCCTCGAGCATAATTTTCATATATTTCCTTGGATAAACTATCTTAAAATACTCCAGATCACTTGGTAGACTCTCAATCTTTGAGCCCAATATTTCAACGAGTTTTTCTTTAACTTAATCTTTGTTTTTCTTTAAAATGTTCATGGGCTGATCGGTAACATGTGGAGAAAACCGCTGGCCAGGGTCGAGGATTTGCCTTCAGTTTTACAACTGTTATTATAAAATAATTCAAATAGTACGCGCGCTCTGATTGGCCATAAAACCATTTTACATGAGCGTATGTAAACACGGTTTTCGTTCCTTTTTCATTAGTTATTTTATAAAAGAAATGTAAAATGGTTTCCGTGTTTAAATAGCCTGATGTAAACACTTGGGAGGTTGGGAGAACACTCGATAACCTGGAAACCACTCCGCTTCGCGTCGTGGTTTCCTACGCTTATCTCGTGTTCTCCCAACCTCCCAAGTGTTTACATCAGGTTATGTAAACACGGAAACCATTTTACATATCTTCATCAATAACTTATTTCTAGGTCTCTCTCAGTTCTCTGAGGCATCTGGTGGAATGTTATCAGAAACACGGAGGTGTTTAGTAAGTTTTTCATTTGTGAGTCAAAATTACAATAAGAATCGGTATTCGTGTTAAAAAATGTCCCAAATTAGCCTTAAATGTTGCTTATGTTATATTATAAAGGCATTTCACCCTAACCCTATCCCTGGAGACCTAATCCCACTCCTAATCCCCAGCCAAAATGTGTGTAACTTTAATCTTAAAAGTTGCTTTTTTATTTTCAACATGTCATTGATATTCATACTGTCACTATTAAAGTGTGGGCTCAAATGGGCTTCCATGACATGTTCAGTTCCCCTTTTTCATGCATTAGAAAAAGGGAAGGCATTTTATGTTGACCAATCACAGAGCGAAGTAACGCAAATACTGTAATTCTACCCAGTTCATTTCTTGCGACTTTTCCATTACTTGTTACCGGTGGTTGTCGAGTCACGAACATGTACGTGGAGCGTGCAAGGCGCTCGGGTATTTTCTTTCTGGGAATTAACAGAGCTTCAGATTTATACCAGGTGAAAGAACCTTTTTAATAGGGCTTTCTGCAATCCCTGATACTTCTGGCAGAATGATTCCGAGAAAGCGAAGATGGATGGTAAGTTTTTTGCAAATTTTAGCTCAAAATAGACAATGCAAGGTAGCCATGAATGTTCTTGATTGGACTTGATGCCCAGAAAAGGTTCTTTCAAATCTCTTGAAAGTATCAGATAATCGGTTGAAAATTTTAAGCGATCCTAGAAATGATATTGGTTTTCTAGTTGATATATCCGAACTTGTGCGTACGCGAAAATTGCGATGTTCTTAACACTTCGAAAATTGTGTTAATTGTGGCTCATGTAATGTTAGAAATAAGTACTGAATTTCCCAAAAAATAATCGTGCAAATCGATTGAGAATAATCGTGTGAGCTTAAAAATGGCAAGCTATTGATTTGATACTTCAGAAGAAGAGTTATCAGCTTGTGTCTACCATTAGTCGGTGGATGTTGTGATCGATAATTCAGAATGAATTCTGGTAACCAGACCACATTTAAACATAATGAGAGCAATAACCGGCTGGTAACAAATGTCATGCGAATCTAAAATTGTTTTGGTTTGTTGATGGACGAACTCTCTAAACCTGTGCATCAGTACTTAGACATCTTCAGTTTTAAATTATCCGTGCGAAGAAGGCGCAAGTTTGGATCAAAGTACGAAAGCTACATTAATTTCGGAATCGCCTCAAATTCCCATCAAACAACTGATGATTTCAGGAATTTTGAAAGAACCTTTCCGTGAAAATTAAATTTATGGCTGCATGGCGTTTAAGTTCATCTAGGACCGCGCCCGTCTGCAGGGTATTTAGATAAATGTGTTGGTTAGAACCTTCATTTATCCAACCCATCAAAGATTCAACCCATCTTTGACATAGGTTTTGTGAACTTGTCACGAGATCGAATGTTTTTTACTGACTTTTTATCTCTTACTTAAATCGGTGTAGAAGGCAGAGTTGATGTAAAACAACAGGGAAAAATTCCCCCATTCGCAATTTTCGTTTACTAAGATCCAAAATTCTTATCACAAGAATAATTTGATTGTGATCCATTCAAGAAGAATCAAGCTGCTCGCGACGAAACTAAAATCTTGTAGAGAATTCTGGTAAGAATGCTTTCCATCTGGATATCTTGAGACGAATCTCTATTTCAGAAACTCTTGTCACTAGGTCGGGAATTCTTTCCTCAAGAACAATAATTCTTTTCATCAGGCAATGATGTATTATAGTTATCCTGGAAAGAGTGTTTAATTGAAAATATTATGCAGGGAATTCATGAGAGAAGAAGCAGAAACCTTGTTGAGAATTCTTATAACTAGACTTTTATTAAGTAAACTTTCACTGCCATACTATACATGATCTATACACCTGAGGAGCTGATGCAGTCTGTTCAGCCTTGCTACCTTACACCAGTGGAGTACTGACCTACATGAATGATTCTCTAGGAAGACGAAACAGCGATTATTTACATAAACACTTCGGTTGAAAATTCGCATCATAATTAGAAGTGTTTGAATATGCAGTTCACAGCCAGCTAAATACATTTCCCTTGTTAAGGAATAAACAGTTCTGCTGAGCAAAATTAGGTAGCTTAAACATACATGCAGCTCGTGCATACTTCATTCAGCCTTCAAAGTAGCAGTGATAGACTTTCATCACGCATCGGCAATTTTGATTACTTGGACATTAAAACCCTGTTTCTCGTACCTTTGTCTGCATTGCAAAGCTAGGCGTGCTAATTCTTTAAATTTAGTGCGAATTTGCAGGTGTGAGATAAACTATTATGATTGAAAACCCTGCAAAGAATATCCTCAGGCGTTTGCCTTTCTTGTTCCGCTCGGTGTTTCACTTTAGTATTAACCTGAGGTAAATCTGTGGGTATCATGGTCAACTTAACCTACGTTGGGCTTCTTGTTGGCTGACATTAGGGATGCTTAAGAAATTTAGTTTTGCTGTGATGTGTTTTTATTCACTGGAAAAATGGCGTAGTCTTCCTTAAATTGAAACAAATTAAGAGCGAGTAGAAGTCTCAAGTTCCTTTTAAGTTTAATCATTTATAGAAACTAGGAATATCCGTAAATTTCAACCTAAGAACGGAGTCTGCATTTTACCCCTGGTCTGCAGTCTTCATCTGTAATTTATCGCCAGTCTGCAGTCTGTGTTTTACACTGACCGGATTTGGTACAATATACTATTAGTTAGAACTTCAAAGTTAAGCTATTGGGAGTCCCAGAGATTGATCCACTTAAGCAGAGACCTGCTCTTCAAATGGCTAAATTCTGTATTGGACTTTTTAATGCTATGGGTGTTAATGTTACACTTAATGACACTGATACTACACACAGAGTGCCCAGCTGAAATTCATCTTTGAATAGCCCAAAACCCTATAATTTTCAAATTTGTGCAACGAATCGCTCGAGAAGATGTCATGTCATGTCGACGGGAAATTACTCAAGCAAGCCCAACAGCCACCAGTATTAATAATAGTGATCTTTCAAATGCTCTTATCTTGGATCACCTAACCCCAAAAGCTCAGGAGCTATTATTTGAAGCCAAAAACTTAAAGAACAGGTAAAGCTATGCTTATCACTGGGCAAAGAACCAAGCCATCTACCTCTGGAAAACTGGAAACAACCGGCCTATCAGGGTGAAGAACCTTAGTGTACTACATAGTATATATGGCACAGTAGGAATGCAATACTTAACTTGTCACAAAGATAAGTTCTTTTATTCCTTTCTAATATATTTGGTTGAAATGGTTTCTGTGAACATTGCTAAGCCAGTACAGTTATTGTTTCATGAATTACCATAAAATGGTGTAGACATCTGTTGTGCTCATCGCTAGTTTAACAATACATTGCAATCTCATCTGTCAACAAAAAGTATCACAATAGACTCAAAGGCTTTCATGACATTGACTTATTTAGTCTTAATGTAAATTCAGGTATTGATCCAGATTGTAACACTTCAATTGGAACCATCCATTGTAAATATTATTCTCTGTTTACCTTTACACAGTCTATGAGTAGGAATAAGTCATTCAAATCTTGCTTCTCTTTATTTCACACTAATATATGAAGTCTAAGAAAAAACTTGGTCAACCTTCAAACCCATATTTTAAACAAACAAAATTTTCATTTTAGTCTTTTAGCAGTGACAGAAGCAAGAATTAATGACGAGAATGTTGACTTTAATCCAACCATATCAAATTACAATTTTGAATATGATCCTACACCTCTTTTTGCTGGAGGTGTAGGAATGTACTAAGACAACAATGTATGATACAAAGTCATCAAAAAAACCTCTAATTCAAACACTTTGGCATGAAATTGAATTCACTAAGAAAAGCAATATTATTTGTGGAGTTGTCTACAGACAGCATAATTCTGTTGACCACCTTTTAGAATATTCTGAAGAAACTATTGATCGATACAGTGCCAGTAGTAAATCAATCTACTTCTTAGGTGACGTCAACTTAAATATTTTTAAGTCGAAGACTTGTAATTATGCTCAACAATTATTTAAATTGCTTACAAAGCTATGGCATTTTACCTACCTATCTATCTTTGGATTATTTTCATCACCATCGAGGTTTTGTTTTCACATGTGCCGATAGCAATTT